GCAAGGGCGCCATAATCAACTGCGCGAGGGACGAGGGCGCTGGTCGCACGGGCAGGGCGGACACGCAGTGGCGTCTGCACCTCTACGTCATGCTCTCCTGCGCCACGCGCGCGCGGAACGGGCTGATCCTGCGGCCGCCGCCGCGAGTGTTCCCGGATCGAGGGCCGCTGGCACCTTTGCGGAAGACGCTCCTGGAGTCCGACGTCAGAGAGGGGAGTTCCAGGGCAGAGGCGGAGCAGATCGCGGCAGGCCTGGGTTTCGTGCTGCCCCCCCACCTGAGCGCGGTGGCGCCCCGCTCGGGGCCCGCGGGGTTGCCCCGGCGGCTTGGTCTCGCGCGCCGACGCCCTGGCCTCCGGAGCTGCCCCCGACGGCCGCGCGATTTCGCCGTCGGAGAACGCGCCCCTGCTGGGCGCGGCGGCGGGGGCGCCGAGGGAAATCCACGCGCGCGCCCCTGCCAGGAGGAAGGAAAGGTGCAGGAGGAGAACGAGCGGGGCGGCGATGGGGAGGTGGAGAAGGAGGGTGGAGGAGGGCAAGGCAAAAGCCGAGGAGGAAAAGGCACGTGAGGAGGAGAGGGAGGATTTGAAGGAGGCGGAGAAAGAAGAGGAAGAGGCGGAAGAGGAAGAGGATGAGAAATGCAACGAGCAGGACGAGAAGGAACAGGAGGAGGAAAAGGAGGAAAAGGAGGAGGAGGGCGGAGTGGGCGGAAGGAAAAGGCGAGGGGCAAGTTAAATCGATTATCGTGTGGGGTCCTACCGTCGGTATAAGTTTGTTTTGGTTTGGGTCCGATTAAGCGTGGGCGATCGTGGGCCTCTCGTTGAACGCCTCCATATCCAGCTTCCGCGCCGAGGACCACAAGTGGACCACCGAGGGCCGCCGAAACCCGCCAGAATCCCGCCGAAGACCGCCCAAGGTCAGCGGGTAAGCGCAGAAAGTCTTTTTTAATCTTAATGCTGTCCCTCCCCTTCTTGAGTTTCCGGCTGGGAATATTCGTCTTCCCTCTCCTCGCCCTCCCATCCTCGCCCTCGTCGTCGGATGCGTCGCTTTCCTTGTGCCGCCCCCTGCGCCGGAGGGCGACGACGGCGAGGAGGACCGCGCCCCTTTGGTGCCCTTCTCTCTGCCGGGGCGCGGAGGGCCTGCGCGCTCCTTGGCGGGGACCCGGCCTCCGGACTGCGCCCTCCTCTTCCGTGCACTTGGAGATAGTTTTTCATCCCCTGGCGCGCAACGGTCGATACTCAGGAGCAATGGACCACCCTTGGTTCCGATGAGTTTGCATGGCGCCAACGTTCGTGCTGCGCTGCCGGTCTCGCGGACTGGGCGGCCGTGTTGATGCACGTGGTTTGTCGCGCACAGTCAACCCGCATAGCAAGGATGGGCAATCTTCCCAAGGGTACTTTTGCATCCTTGTCCCTTCGGCCCATCCTTGGCCAGTTTTGCTGGCCGCGCCCCGCTCGAAAAGCTTCGACATGGGCTTCAAGGCCCTTGCATCCTTACTATACGGGTTGACTGTACGTGGTTTGTCGCGTACGTCCTTCGTGGCCTCCCCTCCCCCTCTTTTGGTCGAGGTATACCGATGGGACGTTTTTTTTTTGGGGGGGATGGCATGCCGGCGTGCATGCAGGCGCACTGCTGGTGGTGTTCGCAGGCACTCGCAAGCTCTGCGCAGGCGCCCCACCACCGCCCAAATGTCAGAGCTCCGCGGAACTGATCCGTCGGCCAGAAAACAAGCGACACCACCCCACCTACGGCCTTCCATGCTGCGCAATGGTTAAGGCGGGTTTGTCCCTCTACAGGGGGAAAATTCAAAATCAGTAAAAAAGTAGTCGGGGGACTAGTTTTGGTGTATTGTTTTGAATATGTATAAGTTTTCGTCGAAAGCCCCCCTGTAGGGGGACACGCCCGGCTTAACGCTACAGCCCATCGGGGCCGTAGCGTATACCATGCGCAAGCCCACGCCAGACGTCCTGGTATGCACTACGGCCCGTGGGGTCATAGGGGGGGCGTTTGTTGTCTGGTCCAATCCGCCAGCGGCACTCGGCGGAAGTTCGGCGGAAGTTCGGCGGAAACAGGCAGAAAAAACAAATTGCCCTCCCAAGAAGGGACTTGTTTGTGGGATCCAGGATGGTCGGACTCTGCCATGCGAGTTGGCAGTTTTTTTGTCGGCTTCGGGCGTTTGCGTCCGTCTTCGGGCGTTCTCGTTAGTTCCCAGAGGTGCCTGGAGGTTTTCCTGCCTCAGCTGCGCCTCTCCGAGGGCGCTCGACGGGGCCCGAATCGTCCCGAGCGGCCGCCAGAGACCCGATGTTATGACCCGTCAGACAGACCACCAACGCGTAAGAGTAACCCCGCCAGAATAACCTGTGGTGCACGGCTTCCGGGTGGCTCGTGGAGGGCAAGACCAAGCACGCATGCCGCGGCTGGCTTAATTATCGCGCGCAGCCATCGGCAATTCGTGCACCAAAGGTCTTACTTCTGGCCACTCATCTGTGCATAGCCGAACCTAGACCTTTCCAGAAAGGGTCTTGCCGTCGGCAAAAGCTGGCAGGGATACCCGTCGGTCGTTGAAAGTAGGCCGTTCTGGATTCCCAGATCCCAATCTACTTGAGGCGCCTTCCTACTTCAATGATTGAGTGAGTGTCCTTCTTTTCTCCTCTTCAGGCGGCGGGCAGAAGCCCAATATACTTCCAACGCATTCCTACTTCACGTTTGCCCACTTCTTCCGACCGACGGGTAAAACGGTGGTAGGCCCGCTGGCGAAAGGCGGGGGAAATAAAGGCGAGACGTCAAAATGTTTGGAAACGGCCCCCTCGGTCATGTAGGTCGTCGTCGTCGTGGGAAGAGGATGTCGCTCTGCTCGCGCCCGGCCTATTGGGGTATTCTTCTGGGCTCCCAGGAGCATCAAAGAGTGGCACCCTGCGGAAACCTGGCCCCCAAGGGGCGCGCATGGAGCAGAAAGCCTCAACATTTACACAAAATCCTTGGGGCTCCTCGCGGACCTCTGGGGTCGGCGCTGGCCCCCCCCCCCCCTGGCGGCGCCTCTGGCGCTGCCCCTGGCGCGCTCCGCGGCAGAGGAGGTCGTCGACATCGTGCGCGGGGATGATGGGATTGTTTTACACCACCACCGTAAGTTGGAGGTGGGAAGGAGGTGGAGGACGAGGAGGAGGAGGAGGAGGAGGAGGAGGAGGAGGGCGAAGAGGAGGAGGAGGTGGAGGAGGAGAGGGGGGAGGACCCCCTCCCCCTCCAACTTATGGTGGCGGTGGTGGAAAACAGGCCCACCACGGGGAGAGGGTCCCAAGCCCTCGCGGCCGCGCGCAGTGGCCCAGGGCTCCGGGCGCGGGTGCACGCGCTTTCTTCTCCCGCGGAATCTCGGGCCCCGTCGCCCCTTTTCTGCGGCGGAGGGGGCGGGCAGGGGCCCAGGGTGGAGCCGCAGCCGCAGCCAGGAGCAAGTCGGGCCTGGTCCCTCTACAGGAGGAATATCAAAAGTCCAAAAATAGTCCGGGGACGATTTTTTGGATTTGTTTTGACCATTTCGGGGTATATTCTGGTTATTCTTTATTTTTCGTCCACAATCCCCCTGTAGGAGGACAGGCCCGATATGAAGCCAGGTCCGAGGCCGGGACTGCCGGGACCGAAAACAAGGCCAGGACCAAAGCGGGGGGAGCCGGAGCCGCGGTTGGAGTTTTGGGGCTGGGGCTGGGGCCTTGGCCATGGCGCCGCCGGTTGCCACGTCAGAGAGCTCCAGCGCTCCACGTGCACCCGGGCGCTTTTGAGACCAAGAAGGAAGCGGGGTTCCTTGGCATTCTAGCCCATGTGCGGTAGCAGCCTGGCTGTGTACGTTCCGCGCGCAGGAGGCACCAAGTTCTTCAGAGACGTCGAGCATGGTGCAAATCACAAAACGCTTCAGTTCCTAGGGAACTGTGGATCTGGAGCAGTCTACTTCGGCCCTTCGAGCTGGTCGCACCTGAACACCCCCTCGATGGAGCTGATGGGTGCGTCACCTCTCATGCGAAAGGCGCTCGAGGCTGTGCCGCAGGGGCAGGGTTGGCTTCAACAGCTCCGCGGTGCCGCCGAGGGCGAAGGAGGACTGCCAGCTCTGCCGATTGCAGCCAAAGACGGATCACCCTCGTTCTGGAAGTCGCTAACGATCGCGTACAGTGCGGGCGCGGCCGCAAGAAACTCTCGCAAGAAACCCAACCCTGAGAACCCGGAGCACCCTGAACGCAGCAGCTCCTCCAGCGGCTGCGGGAGGCCACTGCGCAGCACGGGGAGCGAAGAAACCCAGGATACCCTCACGAAGAGCATGTGGCTCCTTCATGCGCGCCCCCGCTGCACCTCCTCGTGAACACCGCCGCCGCCTTCCCGGAGACCAAGATCACGAGCCCGATCGCCGCCCAAGCCTCGATCGAGCTGAGGAAGGTGCGCCGTGCCGTGGCGGCCGCAGCGAGCGAGGGAGTGCTTGCTAGCCGTGTCCGAGTGCAGCGTGCCATTGCGCGCAGGGCTGGACCTAAACGGTGTTTTCGGTGGTTTCGTGGGCCGTTTTCGTTTCGATCTCGTTTTGCGGCAAAGGCGGATTCGAGACAAAAGCGAGGGAAAACGAAAACAACACGAAAACGAAAATCACCGTTTAGGTTCAGCCCTGATTGCGCGTGCCATGCGTTCCCTCCCATCTCGAAGAGAAGCTTGCCCCAAGCCCACCAGCAGTGCAGAGCGCAGCAGTCAAGATACCGTCCGGAGCGTGGGCCGCTTCGCACAGGCTCCGGAGTCCCACGCGGCCCTGCCTCTTTGGCTGCCCGAGCAGCTGGACGATCAATGCCGCTACTGCCACCGTGGCTCGCTCTGGAAACTCATGTCGCCGCCCGGCCCAGACCCGCTGTTCGCCGCGCCCCCGACTTCTCGTCTCGAACTCCGCCCTGCCAGGCCGAATGACGACGCGGTGACGCGAGCTGTGTCGCTGGGCCACGCTTCGAAGTAACCGCCGCGGTCTCCACAGCAGGGGGCGCGGGACCATGGGCGACGCCTGCACGGACCTCGCAGCACTCAGGCCCGCGCGCAGGCAACCAGCGCTCGCCCCGCCTCGCGCCAGACTCGTACCGATGCAGACGCGTGGCCGCCGCCCCCGTGCCCAATTGGGCCCCACCGAGCAGATTGAACTGGGCCTCGGACGGCCCAGCCTGGCGCACGAGGCATCCTCCTCCTTCTCCTGCCTTCTGCTTCCCCCTCGCCCCTTCCTCCTCATCATCCTCATCCTAGGAGGGGAGGGAAGCAGGGGGGAGGTGGGAGGGAGCCAGAGAGGAAGGCGGGGTGGGTGGGCCATGGGGGGAAGGAGAAGAGCGAGGGGACGGGCGGGAGGGCGCGAGGGACTGGGGCGGAGAGGCGGGAAGGGGATGGGGGTGCGCTGGAAAGGGGGGTGAGATGAGAGGAGGAGGAAGGGATGTGGAGAGGGAGGCAAGGAGGCCCTGCCGCCTTGGCCCCCCCCCTCCTATCTCTTGCATATATACTCCTTCCTGCCTCCCCTTCTCCCCTTCAGCGGCAGTCTTGAGCGGAGTGTTACTTCTGTGACGTGGCCAGCTCGGCGAGCCGCACTCAGTGTCGCAGGTGTCGCAAGTAGGGGGAGGGAAGGGAAAGGCGGCATCGAGGGTGGGAAGGGGGGATGGAAGGGGACGGGATGGTGGAAGGGGGGACGGAGTCCGTAGAGGAGTTTAGAAGGTTAGGAGGTGGAGGGAGACGGTGAGGAGCAGTGGGTATGGTTGCTGGCGTGTTAGGAGAATGACAGGGGAGGACCGCCTCCTGACAGCCTCGAGAACCCTTCAGAGACGTCGCCCACTCCGTGGGCCCCCGGTACAGCAACCCGAGACACCGCACAAATAACCCTTCATAGCATTGCCTCGCTGCTCCACCCCTCCTGCCCTTGTCGTCCTCCTCCTAAGCCCCCACTCTCCCCCTTCCCCCTCCTCCACCCCCTCATCCTCTCCCCCCGATCCTCCTCCTCCTTCCCCCACGTTTAACGATTTCTGTCGACGATGTTCGCTTTGTCTTCGATGCAATCTTCCGAGCGAACAGCGTAGACTAATCGGCCGTGCGCCGCGCTTGGGGACCGCCCAGCTTCCTGACGCAACCCCCTCCTGGCAGCCTTCGCCTGCGACGTAGCTAACATGAGGAAAAACGCCTTCCCCCCCCGCTCGTACTCTTCCTGCCCTTTGGCCTCCTCCTGCCCCCCCCCCTTCCCCCCGCTTCGGCCAAACAACCAACGACGCCACCCCACCTGCGGCCCTCCATGTTGCGCTGCGGCCCATCGGGGGCCAATGCGCAGACCATGCAGAAACCCAGGCCGGATGTCCTGGTATACAGTCGTCACGGATTAGTAGGTGGACCCTGCCAAATCAAGGGTGCCTTCGCGTCCTTGTGTCGCGACCCACGCCTCCTGCATTCCTGTGGTAATGTGGCCCTCGGAAGGGTCTTATGTCCTCTCGCGTGTCCTCTCCAATCAAGCCCGACTGTACGCTACGGCCCGTCGGGCCGTAGGTGAGGTGGTGTCGTTTGTTTTCTGGTCCACTCCTCCATCCCATCCTCCCCCTCGTCCTCTTCCCTCGTCGCTCCTACCCTTGTCCTCCCCTCCTCCTCTCTCATCCCCTTCTCCTCTTCCCTCCCCTCGTCCTCCTCTTCCCTCCCCTCGTCCCTCTTCCTGGTCCGCTCCTCCCCTCGTCCTCTTCCCTCGTCGCCTGCGTGCGCGGGGCCCCTCGGCGCCCGAGCGCGCGCGCGGCGCGGATATCTCAGGCAGAGGGCTTCTCGGAGGGCGACTTCGGCAGCGTGGACGACGGGGATCGCGGCCTCGGGCCTCCCTTGCGCGGATGGGGGATGAAGGGGAGGATCGGGGGGGAAGGTAGGAGGAGGAGGAGGAGGAGGAGGTGGAGGAGGAGGAGGAGGAGGAGGAGGTCGAGGAGCAGGAGGAGGTCGAGGAAGAGGAGGAGGAGGAGGAGGAGGAAGAAGAGGAGGAGGAGGGAGGGGAAAAGGAAAAGGTGAGGTTGGAGGCCCCCCCCCCTCTGCGCGGCCTTTTCCTTGGGGTCTTGAGCCAGGCCCCAGCAGGGTGGCATCACGGGGCCCGTCCCCGCACGCCGCCCTGGCGCCCTGCGCGGGCCGCGCTGCACCGGCGCAGCTCCCGATCTGCAGAACGCAAAGGGTATCGACTATTCGACAACACGCGGGCCCTGGACCGGGGAAGGCGGGGACAAGAGGGATAGGGTGAAGTCGGGCGTGCCCCTCTACAGGAGGATTATTCAAAAATCGAGGAAAAATGGGACGATGTTTAAACTATTTGTTCCATTTTGGAATACTTTCTGGTATTTTTAACTTCCGTCCAACATCCCCCTGTAGGGGGACATGCCCGACTTAAGGATAGGCGGGGTCCAGAGTACGCGTCCTACCAACAAATCGTTACCACAAAACGAGTAAAAACCCGACGGGTCATGCATGACGATATCGATTCTCTCATTGACGTGAAACCCAGGGCACAACGACACTTGCACGCAGTCACTTTCGCATCACTCACACCTACGAGCACCTTGGTAACGAACTTCAGAGCCACGACATCGTAGGGAGCTGGCTGCCGATGGCGGCTGGGGGCGCCCCTGCAGCTTTGGACGTCGTTTCCCATGCTGTTCCTCTTGGGGGTGGCCTTGAGGATTGGGGGTTGGTTCGTGGTCGTACCGAGCTTATTGATCCTCTTGTTCAACGTTCTGTTGGCCTTCTTCCCGGAACGTTGGTTGCTGTTCGGCGGCTCCCAGGTTACGACGCGTGCAGGACGGACGCCAACCTGTTCCACAGGCTCTGCGGCAGTTTGTCCAAGAAGCTCGGCCGTCAAAAAAAATCGTCCCGAATCTTATGCAATGGCAAGCCGGTCTTGTTTATCAAAGAGAACTTGTCTGTGCCGATCCTGCGGGAGATGAGCGTCTCCAGAGCGCCGTAACGATCCACCCTGTCGACTTCGATGACTCGATGGCAAACGAGCTACCCTCCAGATGGCTCGTGCAAGTCACGCGGAAGCCCTCGTCGTCCGAACTATCGACCACGATCGTGAATACCTTGACTGGGCGATCGGATCCGCCCGCTGGTACAGGAGCAGCCTTTAGGAGCTCTGGGCGGGTGTCGCCCCGAGCTCTGAAAAGTTCCCCGTCCCTCCGGCGAGCAATCCAGATGGGCATGCGGCTGCGGATGTCGGTCTGCAGGCGGTTAGATACATCCGGGCGAGGCTTCTCGCCACGACTGTCACTGCCCGGCTGCATGTGCGCCTTCAGAGCGGACGCCTTGTCGAGGGCTTGTTTGTGGAGGTCGGTCAGCGTGTTCAGACGCGCCGCCTGCAAAGGACGGTTCGGGTCGAGGCGGGCGGTGTTCATAGCGATGCTCTTTGCATTACCCAGCATCTGCATTATCCAGCATCGCCGCCCTGCACGCGATATCAACTATGCGCTGGCTGGGAGGCATCCGGCTCATTCCTGACGAAGAAGGTCGTGATGAGGATTCCGTTGCGATCTTAACCAGACAAACGCGGATCGATCCATTACCGAATTTATCAACTCGGATGCCAAACAAACGAGCGACAAGGTACATGAGTTTGTTGTGGCCAAGGAGCTTGGCCTGCACACAGATATCACAACCAGCGTCGTAATCGATGTGGCCCCGTCGAACGTGATCCAAAATCGGGCCATCCAGGATGGTAGATTTTTCGGGATGGGGGTCAGACTCCGGGAACACTAGTACAGGAGTGTCGGGGCCAGAATTGCGCAAGAAATCCACGCAATAATCTAGCTTAGTGAAAGCTGGAACGCTATCTTCTCGAAAGGCGAATCCTGTACACGCGTCGACACAACTACTGGCCACTGGACCGACGCAAAGCGTCGCGGTTCCAGCCGGGCGAGGCTCCTCGCAACGATTGCCCCCGAGATCGCAGGGGAAACGGACGTACTGGACGAGGCGACAGGTCGGATCCAGCCGGACGAGGCTCTTCGCCACGACTGCCCCCTGGCCTGCCAGAAGGCGTTCCTCCTCGTCCTTCTCCTGCTCCGTCCTGTTCCTTGTCCTCCTCGGGAACGTGTCGGGGAAGCCGTGTTCGAGGAGCTGGCACAAGGATGTCCACCCAGGAAAAATAAGTTCCCCTCCCTGTCGAAATTGTCCTGCGCTCCCGCTGGGCTCGCCAGCGTCGCTCCACGCTTCCCCTGCCTGTACTCTCACCCGTTGTCTGTAAGTAGAGCTATGGGTAAGAGGGAAGAGCTAGCTACTGTGCAGAGGAGGCGAGAATTTTGGTCAGCACCACAGCAAACAATGTCTGCTTCCTCGGTGACGAGCGTCTCGCCGTTAGCGGTCTCGAGGACGATTGGTTGCCCCGAGGTCGCCGGTTTTGTGCGTACGGGAAATCGGTGCCGCATAAAATGTGCCCTTCGGCACCCGAATCGGGGATTAAAGGGAGCACGTCGCACGCGACCCCGTGCTCGCCGATGCTGATGGACTTAGACGTGAGGCGGATCATTTGGCCACTCAAGCTTTGCAGGAAATCTTGGGTGCCTTTGCGCTCCTCCTTTAAGTGTTCCATGTGCTGCCCCGCTTGTGATGTGAGTGAATGCAGTGTGACTGCGGTTGTCGGCGGGGCGGGCGGGGCCGATCCGGCGCCCGAACATTGACCTGCTTGGTTTGTTCCGATCCAATTCTGTTTTGTAACAGGTGCGAACTTGCCGGCTCCGATCCAGCTCCTTTCCCTTTCGTTGAAACTCGGCTGCGGCACGGGCGTCCCCGGTGCGCCGCCCGAGCTGCTGGTTCCTTTCCAGATGGGATTGGCGTTGCCGAATCCTTTGCCTTTGATTTTATGTTTTCCCTTGTTTTTGTTCGGGCATTCGTTTCCCCAGTGCCCCGGTTGGAAGCACAGTCTGCAGCTGTCTTGCGGTAGCCGCTGTGTTTGTTGGTCCCAGGAGACGCTTGACGCGCCAAGGGTGCGCGCGGGACTTTTGCTGTCGTGGGAGAAGCGGCACCTGTCGCCCATGGAGCACCAGCCGCTCATGTAGAACGAGCAGGGGATCCACGTGTCCTTCCTTTCCTTTGCCTTTCTTTTCGTCCTTGCCCTTGCCCTCCTTTCCTGCTGCAGCAGCGCCAGCTTAGACGCTACTCGGCGGTGGCTGGGCGTCGGTGGTCGGCGCGTCGCCTGCCTTTCGCTCAGCCATCTCGTAGATGGCGTGGACATCGTTCGGGCGCGTGTACGACACCATCTCCCATGACATGAACTTGCCGATCAGCTTCCGCAGTGAACGAAGAGCTGTTTGTTGAGAGGGTGTGGAGCCTACGGCCCGAAGTCCGTCGTAGTCAGATTTCCACACCCGAAGCGCGTGCTGCAGTTTGGTTTTGTCGGTGACCGGCTCTGGGTCGGTGAACTTGTCGTTCCGGGCGGACACGTACGTTGCAATGGACTTCAGGACGGCTCCGGCAAGAGCCGCCAGCATTGACATGCCATGGGTGCGGTCTTCTTCAAAGTAAAGGCATAGCTCCTCGTCCGCGAGCCCGCAGATCTCTAAGGCTAACGCCTTGTTGGTTCTGGTGTACGCCAGGTTGTTGTGCACCAGTGGCGTGTCCAAGTCTGGGTCGCTGAGGACCAGGTGTACCGCAGCAGCAAAGCCTGCACTCTGGAGGCCGCACCAGCTGGCAAGGTTGGTGTTTACCAACGCGCGGCACGATTTGACCGACGGAAGGGCCCCGGGACGTTTCGGCAGGGCGTGCAACGGCTGCCTGGAATTGCTGCCGCCCCCGCCGCAGTGTTCGGGACTGCAGGCTGCAGGGTGTTTTCGGGACTGGAGTGGACGGAACATCAGCCGACGATCGGTCAGGAGTTTCTTCAGCCAAATCGTCGTCATCGCCATCGGGGATCCGAAAAGATGCGAAGTCCGCCATCCGATCGATCGCGCGCGGGTGAAGGCTAAGGAATGGATGCAGGCGCTTGTAGCGAAGGGCTCATAACCTGAGGTTGGAGGACCCCCCCCGCCGCGGCCTTTCCCTCGGGGCCTTGGGCCAGGCCCAAGCAGGGTGGCAGCATGGGGCTTGTCCCCTCAAAAGGAAGAGGAGAGGGAGGATGAGCACGAGGAGGAGGAGGAGGAGGAGAAGGATGTAGGAAGAGGAGGAGGAGGAGGAAAAAGAGCAGGAGGAGAGGGGAATAGCCGGAGGAGGGCGGGGAGGAGGAGGAGGAGCAGGAGGAGGAGGAGGAGAAGGGAGGGAGAGAGGGAGGGAGGGAGGGAGGAAGGCTCGTGGAGGATTGTGGACGAGGAAGGGGACGATGATGACGAGAGGGGCGAAGAGGAAGAGGAGGGCGAGAAGAGGAGTTGTACATTGGGGAAGGAAGGGTCGGAGGGAGGGAGGAGGAGGAGGAGGAAGAGGAGGAATAAAAGGAAAAGAGGAGGAGGAGGATAATGATGATGATGATGATGGTGATGATGATGATGATGATGATGATGATGATGATGATGATGATGATGATGATGATGCTGATGCTGATGCTGATGCTGATGCTGATGCTGATGCTGATGCTGATGCTGATGATGATGCTGATGCTGATGCTGATGCTGATGCTGATGCTGATGCTGCTGATGCTGATGCTGATGCTGATGCTGATGCTGATGCTGCTGATGCTGATGCTGGTGCTGATGATGCTGATGATGATGATGATGATGATGAGGAGGAGGAGGAGGAGGAGGAGGTGCAGGAGCAGGAGCAGGAGCAGGAGCAGGAGCAGGAGCAGGAGCAGGAGCAGGGTTAAGATTTAAACGGGGAGGAGTGCCTCGGCTTCAGTATTATTGTCCTCATGCTGTGCGTCGGCCTTGTCAGTCTCGGGCTCACACGTCATCATATTTGTCATTCGCGTCCCCTTTAGTATCCTCATCCTGCCCTCCCTCCTCTTCCTCCTTCTCTTCTTCCCGCCCCCACCATCAACAGACCCGTCCTCCTGCTCATTCTCCCCTTGCTCCTTGTCCTCTTCCGCCTCCAATCCTCCCGGTCCCCTCCCCTCCCCCCTCCCCCTCGCTGTCCTCTCACATGTTCACCCCTGTTCCTGCCCTCCTCCCTCCTCCTGCCTCCTCCACCCCCCCTCTCTCCAGACGAGCTCCTGCCCTCTGCTCGCAGGCCCACGCCCCGCAGGCCAGCTGCCTCCTCCCAACTTCACTCATCCGTGCTGGCCCGAGGCGCCCCCGCGAGGACCAAGGAGGCCCCCGCGGCCTCCAGAGCACCCCTCGCGAGGCCCCAGGGGGCTCCATGGGCCCAGGCGCCGCCCGCGGCGCCTGGCAGTGCTTCCCCATCCCCGATGCACTCTCCGGTGCTCGCGAGCCCGCGCGGGCACGCCCCGAGATCCCTCCGAGAGGCGCGGGGGGCCGAGCGAGTGACCCCCGAGCCGCCCCGCCCGCCTCCAACAGCGGCCCCCCCTCCAAACCCGCCATGCCGGGCTCCCGGGGGAGGGGCCCGGGCCTGTCCCCCTGCAGGCCGATTTTGGACGAAAAATAAAACATACCCAAAAATGCAATGAAAATACTCAAAAATGGTCAACAAAATAGTCCACAGATTTTTTTTAAATTTTGCATTGTCCCCCTGTAGAGGAACAGGCACGACTTAAGTCTGGGGGGGGGCCACTGTTTCACACGCCGAGGGATCCCCAAGGTTGAGTCGGGCCTGTCCCGATACAGGAGGAAGATCCATGAATAGTTCAAAAATAGTCTGGGGACGATTTTTAAACTATTGGTTGCCATTTTGGCGTTTTTTGTGACTTGTTTTATTTTGTTTGGTCCAAAATCCCCCTGTAGGAGGACAGGCCCGACTTAACCTCAAGGCCACGATGCCGGCGGCGAGGCGAGAGCGCGAGTTTGAAGACCTCCGGCTCGCCCTCCGCAAGACCGGTTTATTTTTTTGCCTGGCGCTGCTAGCGCCAGCCGCGCGGAGTCCCGCGGAGAGACGCCCGGCCCAAAAGAGTCATCGACAGCGCCCGGACGTGAAGCGAGAAATCTCGGAAGATAGTTTACAAAATTATGCCCCCCCGGACCCCAACTTCCAGTACTTCGCAGCCGAAGAACTACACATTGTTTTAATCGCCACCAGGAATATATTTCACGATGCGATTGCCTCCTGGACCACTCTTGGAGCGCTCTGGGGCGCCCGGGGGGGGCCGTCTTGGGGCTCTCTTGGGCCTCTCATGGGGCTCTCTTGGGCCATCGTGGAGTCGAGGCCACCGGAGGCACGGCAAGGCCAGAATGTATTTGCAAAATTGATGTTGCCCTCAGCCCGTCTCGGCCCTCGAGGGCAGAGGGCAGGGGGCAGCCAGGACGCCCCTCTTCGACACTCCTCGACATTCGAGGAGCGGCACGGAAACACCTCGAGGGCAGAGGGCAGGGGGACGTCTGGACGCCCCTCCTCGGTACTCCTCGACATTCCAGGGCAGCGTTAGGTCGGGCGTGTCCCCCTACAGGGGGAATATTCCAACATTGACGAAACGTAGTATGGGAACCGCTTTGGGGCATTGCTGGACTATCTCGTTGTGTATCTGTTTTTTTAAAAGTATTACAATCCGTATGACGATTATTGTTATTATTATTCTTATTATTCTCATTCTTATTATTATTATTAAAGTTAAATTATTATTATTATTATTATTATTACTGTTACTATTTCGCTCCAAATCTGCCTGAAGGGGGACATGCCCGACCTCAGGGCGGCGCGACAAAAAACGCCCCTCGTCGACCCCGGGAGGGCAGGCCCGGGGCGGGCCCCGGGCGCCGAGTGCCAGCGGCACGCCCCCCCCCCACACCCCCAAAGAGGAAGGCGAGGACGAGGACGGGCAGGAGCAGGATAAGCAGGGGGAGGACGACGACGACGACGACGACGACGACGACGACGGCGACGGCGACGACGACGGTGACGACGACGCCGACCACGGCGGCGGCGGCGGCGGCGGCGGCGATGACGACGACGACGACGACGACGACGACGACGACGCCAGCGGCCAGCGGCCAGCGGCCGGCCCCCCGAGTACCGCGGCCGGACGCCGTCGAGCCCGGGCGGCGGCCCCAAGGGCGGCACCACGGTTTTTGCGACCCGGCCCCCCCGCAAACGTCGTCGTCGCCGTTCTCGTTGTCGCCGTCGCCGCGCGTCGCCGCCGCCGTCCGTCGTCCCCGTCCTCGCCGCCGTTGCATATCGCCGTACTCGTCGTCCGCCGTATTCCTCGCCTTCGTCGCCTCGAGCGTTGTGGTGGTCGTCGTCGTCCTCTTCCTCCTCCTACCCCTCCTCCTCCTCCTCCTCCTCCTCCTCCTCCTCTTCCTCCTCTTCTCAGGAGGAAGAGAATACACACAAATAATCTTCGATCCCCCAAAAGATATGGAAAGCATGGGAGGTGGATGGGGAAGACGAGCATCCAGGAAATACGGTACATACCATGGATCTTGGGATTTGTGCTTATTTATTTGTGTGTCCCTTGGCCCCTTCATCTTCCTCCACCTTTGGCGCTAGGCGGGCTTTAGCAACTAGGCTGTAGCGTTATGGTGGCAAGAAGACTTGGCAACAACGCCTGAATGCAGACAAAGCGGCGCACGAAGTGCACGGAGAATCGGGAAAGAGGAGAGCCCGCGAGGGCATAGAGTATTTGATCTGCAGGCGTCGGGAAGGTAGTCCCCATCCCCCCATATGCAACAGCTCCACCACCACCTCCGCCCCCTGAACTGCTACAGGCGGCGGCATGTACAACTCCGCACCGTGCGCATGCAGAGTGGGATGGCCTGTGAAACGACGCCCTGATCCTCCACCACCAACACCATCACAATCAACCTCCTCCCCCTCCTCCTTCGAGGGCTCTGGGTTCGACAGCCTCCGCAAGGCCTCCAGAGGCCTCTAGGGTATGTGGAGGCCTTCTCGTCCTCCTCCTCCTCCTCGCCCTCCTCTACCTCTCCCTCCTCGTGCAATTTCTCATTGTCTCTGGTCTCTTTGGATTCACTGCAGGCGCGATTAGGCTTGCACTCCTGAAGGGCATTTCGGTGCGGCTCCTCTCCGTCGTCCTCCTCATTCCTCCCCCTTCGCTCCCTCCTCCTCTCTGCTCTCCCTTCTCCTCCGTTCTGATCTCCCTCCTCCTTACCCCCCTCCTCCTCTCACATCCTCTCTCTCCTCTCCATCCCACCTTCCCTCCCGAAAAGGGGCCTCCTTCTCCCCCTCCTCCTCCTCCTCCTCCTCCTCCTCCTCCTCCTCCTCCTCCTCCTCCTCCTCCCCCTCACCGGGGGGGGGGGAGGGGCGCCCCCGCCCTGCCCCTCGACTCCCCCTGCTCACCACGATGCGGTGGGGGCGTTCGTCGAGGAGTGTGCCCAGGAGGCTCCAGACCCTGGAGGGTTCCTTGCCTGATATGGGTGAGGTCGGGCATGTCCCCCCACAGGCGGGTGTTGAGCGAAGAGTTAAACATCCAACAAAAAACGCATGTCCCAACAAAAACAAAAAAAAACACGAAACATCGCCCTCAGACTATTTGTTCTATTTTAAACTACTCCTCCTGTAGAGGGACAGGCCCGACTTAATGATAGGGGCGGCGGCGATATCCATGACCAAGCCTCAGTTGGTTTTCTACCGGCTTCCAGACCCTGGGTTCCTTATCAAAGGGTTCTTTATCCAATGTCCTCACCGTGCGACGCACTCCCATCAGGGGTGGACGAGGTGAGCCATGACTGCGATAGGAGAGCTCGGGAAATGTCCCGCTCCCACCAGGGGCGTCCGCGTAAGGGGAACCGTAACCGTAACCCCGGTGGTGGACGAGAAAGCAAAGGATAAGGAGGAAGAGGAGCATGATGAGGAGGAAGCGGAGTGGATGAGGGGAGGGCCAGGAGGAAGAAGACCAGCAGGAGGAAAGCAAGGAGCAGGATGAGGAGTATCAACAGGAGCAGCAGTTGCAGGATGTCTTAACATAATTGATCGCAGCCAGGCTAGAGTCGCAAGTCCTTTTTGTGTGTGTGTGTCGTTTTTGTTGTCAACTCGCACACGAAATTCGGGATAACGAGACTTCGTCAGGAAGGCTGGACGGTCCCCAGCGCGCGCTGCAGCCTGCAGAAGCAACAGCAGAAGAGGATAACGAGGAAAAGGGGAATGGAGCAGGAGGAGGAGGAGGAAGCAGGAACGAGAACGGCGAAAGGGAGAAGTAGAAGGGCGGAGAGCAGAAAGTCCGCAGAACGAAGCAGCACAGAAGCAACGCAGGGATGCGCGCACCCCGTCCCCCTCCTGCGGCCCAGGTAATCCAGCACGGCTTCCTCTCCGAGGAGACGGCGGCGCCCACCTGGCACCCCCGGGGGACGCTCCTGCTGTCCGGCGCGCCAGGCTGGGGTCGCGCGGCGCCGCCCCCCCCCCTCCTCCCTCCTCCCTCCCGCTTTCCTTCACCCCGCTACTCAACCCTTTGCTTCCTCCTCCCTCCTCCTCCTCCTCCTCCCTCATCCCTACTACTGGTTCTCCCTCGTGGCTCCTCCCTTCCCGTCCTCCTCCCTCAGGGCAGAGGCCTGGGCATAAGATTGCCCTGCCCTACCGCGTGAGCTCCTGCCACGAGGGGCCTCACACGTAGACCAGAAGAGGGCCCAGGGAACAGCTCTTTCTCTTTCCCGGCCCCCTCCATCTCCCAAGCCTTAAGTCGGGCCTTTCCCTCTACAGGAGTATTTGTTCGTCCAAAATCCCCCTGTAGGGGGACGCCCGACTTAACCCAAGCCCCTCTATTCTATAGTCCCACTCCATCCCCCGCATCGCTCTGCCGGGCCTCCGCGCGCGTGGGAGCACGCAGGGCCGGGATGCTGAGGACAGGGACAGGGAGGGACGGGGGACGAGGAATGAAGGACTGGGGGGGTGGAGGAGGAGGGGAGGAAAATCTGGGTGCGCGCGCTCCATATCTGGCATCCCTACCCTCCCACCCATCCCCTTCCCATTGCCCTGTTGGTTCCTCTCCATCCGCGGACGCGTGCCATGGGAACTCCCAGAAAGACTTCATCGTGTTTTGCGCAATCGGGAAAGAGGAGCAGCGTACATAGGAAGAGGGGTCGAAGGAGGAGGAGGAGGAGGAGGAGGAGGAGGAGGAGGGGGGGGATGAGGAGGATGCTGAGCAGGAGAAAAAGGAGGATGATAAAAGAGGAGGACGAGGACGAACAGCATCAGCGGGAGTCGGAGTTGAAGGAGTTGGAAGAGCAGGAGAAGCAGGAGGACTAGAGGAAAGAGGAGGGGAAAGGAGAGTGGCGACAATGCTGAGGAAGGACTCGGGTCCAGACGAGTGGCCCGCGCTGGGGCGAGAGTTCCATTCAGAAAGACTGGGAGTAAAGCGCCGATCCTAAAGTGAGGCCAATCCTGCAGCGGCAACAACATTTCGAGACATCTAAAACGCTCCGATCGAAACAACCACAGGAAAGAACAAATGTTGAATCCAGGTGTGTAAAAGCATACGCGGAGAGGGGTGGGCGACTCCCTGGCCATCTTCGGGGGCTAGAGTAGAGTAGCATCCATGATCGCAATTGTGGAGGAGGAGGAGGAGGAGGAGGAGGAGGAGGAGGAGCGGGAGCAGGAGCAGGAGGGAGTCGGATACGATACGCAGCAGGAGGGCTGAGCAAGAGCAGCAGTATCAGCAGGCGGAGGGAGGAGGAGGAGGAGGAGGAGGAGGAGGAGGAGGAGGAGGCGGAGGCGGAGGCGGAGGCGGAGGCGTAGGAGGAGGAGGAGGAGGAGGAGGAGGAGGAGAGGAGGAGAGGAGGAGGAGGAGGAGGGAGGGGGAGGGGGAGGGGGGGAGGAGGAGGAGGAGGAGGAGGAGCAGCAGCAGCAGCAGAAGGAGGAGGACGACGTCGACGACGAGGACGAGAAGGAGGTGCACGGAGAGGCCAGGAGCGGGAGTCGCGCTCCAGGCTCCGTCGAGGCGCGCCTGAGTGACGCGAAGGAGTTCGTGGAGCTGCGGCCCGAGCTGCAGGGCATGATGGTCAAGGAGAGCGAGAAAGGACCCCCCGCCTCGCCGCGAGGCATGGGCCAGGGGAGAGGCGCGGAGAAGGGGGTCGAGCAGGAGGAACAGGGAATACTGGAGAAGGGAGGAGGATATGCCGGAGGAGGATGAGGGGAAGAGGAGGAGGATGAAGCGGGAGGAGGAAGAGGGATGAGGAGGAGGAGGAGGAGGAAAAGAGGAGGAGGAGGAGCAGGAAGGGAGGAGGAGGAAAACGAGGACGAACAGGAGGAGAAGGAGGAGGAGGAAGAGGAGAGAGTAGCGAGGAGGAGGTTGGACAATATTGAGGAGGAGTAAGAGGACGAGGGGAGGATGAGGAGGAAGATAAGTAGGGAGTGACATTTGAGCCGGAGGAAGTTGGAGGAGGAGGAGGAGGAGAAGGAGGAGGAGGAGGAGGACGAGGATGAGGGTGGGGAAGATGTGGAGGAGGAGGAGGAGGAGAAGGAGGAGGAGGAGGAGGAGAACGCGACGACGACGACGACGGGAAGTGGGAGGAGGAAGCAGAGGTAGCTGAAGAGTGGGAAGGAAAAGGAAATGGAGGAGAGGAGGAGAGGATGATAAACAAGAAGATGACGAGGACGGGGACTCCCCTGGGAGGAGGAGGAATATGCGGAGTGGGAGGAGGGGATAGATGTGTGGGGAAACAGACAAGTTGTGTATTGCACAAGCTTCAGGTAGTTGGGGGCGGATGGAGGGTCCCACCTGGCAACTCAACCCGCCCGCAGCCATTTTGGCCCAAGGTGGCCAGAAGTTGAATTGACCCCATTGTTGTTCCTTTGCATGCTCCCTGCCCCCGTTATGGAGCCTGCGCCTCAGCAGCTGGAGTCGCTCAATAACGCCGGGGACATCTGCGAGTGGGCCGACCTTCCAGACCAGGGCCAGCTCGCGAGCAACCCGCGCCGCCCGCTCTTGGCAGCGCTGGGGGCGACCGAGATCACTTCTGTACGTCTGCTGGCGGCCATCCCCGAGGCGAAGTGGTCGGACACCCTCAACCAGTGTTGGATCAGAGGAGCCGAGCCGTCAGCGAGCCACTTGGCCTCAGCGGGGTTGGTTTGGACCGGTGTGCGTTTCGCCGCCGTGGCCGAGCCCACGCGCGCCGAGCGCGAGAAGAAGCAGGACGCGGAAACCAAGGCTAAGATGCCGAGGCCGAGGTCAGCGACCACGAGATCCCCCCACTCGGGGAAGCTGACGTGGATAAGTTCTACGAGGACTTGCGGGCCGTTATGGGGCACACCCCTGGCCAGAGGAAGGTATCACACTCGAACGGCCCACGGGTTTGCAGCAGGCGCTGCCTGAGTCGGTGGCGGCACCCTACGTAGACCTTGTCGCCGCGGCGCGGGGGTCGCACTCGGCCGACGCTCTCCTCGCTTGGGCGCCGCGCACGGGCGCTGCCCTAACGGTTGCGGGGGGCGAGCTCCGTCGTCTTGAGTACCAAGGCTATCAGGCCGATTGGGCGGCTTGCTTCGCTTCCAGCCGCGTGAAGCAGCAGAAGGCAATGATGAAGCACGTCAGCACGAAGTGCCGGAAGACTCTGCTGCAATACCTCGAAGACCTTGGTCGCGCCGATTTGCGGTCTGCGGGCGATAAGGGCGGTGCTGTCCTGCTGCGCCCACCGAGATGAGCCACCTGGTGGCGGATGAGCACTTCTTGGTGGCCTTGCGTCCGCGGCTGCAGACGTTGCACCCCGGAGCTTTGTGCACCCGCCCGCCCGCCAGCATTTGCGGGCACTGGTCGTCACAGCTAGGGCGGAAGTGCAATCGCGGCATGTGCGACCGGGGACATCATGCTCTGACCCGTGAAGTCGGCGGCGGAGTTGTGCAGAGGCATGACAGGATTCGCGATTGGTTGGCGGCGTGGATCGCCGCCGTCACGGGGGGCCCAGCGCTCACCGAGCAGTTCGTTCCGAAGTGTGACCGAAGATTGGAGGTCGACGGGGAGGAGCAGACTGAGCGCGCACGCTTGGACTTTGTTTTTAATGACCAGATCGCCCACCGTGCATACATCGACGTCTGCGCCCCCGCTGCGTTTTTCACTTGTCCTGAACTGCTCCGGGCGCGGGCGGCGCGGGATGGCGCGGCGGCCGGGCGGGCCGTGGACGGCGAGCGCTTGCGATGCCCAAGGCCAGACTCAGTCCCACCAGCCTCCGTGGGCGCAGGTAGTCTAAGGAGATTCATCTTCCCTTTTCCAAAAACCATTCTTCCCCGCGTGGTGTCAGGGCGTCCAAACGGCCTCGGCGAGGAAGCAAGAAACATTGTTGTCATCAAGGTTTTGGCCCCACGTTGGCCCCTTTTGGGGGGGGCTGACCGTTGCGCCATCTCCTCCCCAAGAGGCCTTCCAGAGCTCGCAAGGGGGCCCCAAGAGGCCTTCCAGAGCTCGCAATTGGGCCCCAAGAGGCCTTCCAGAGCTCCCAAGAGGGCCCCGAGAGAGCCCCCAGAGAGCCCCAAGAGGGCCCCAAGACTTTTAAAAGAGCCCCAAGAGAGTTCAATACCCTCCCAAAGAGCCCCAGGAGAGATCTAGGAAGCGATTTTGAGGGCTCCTGGGAAAGGGTCGACGTAGAGGACCCCCCATCTATTGATCGATGCTCTCCTAAATAGCCCCAACAGGCCTTCCACGGCACCAGCCGCAGCACCGGCAGAGGCAGCAACAACATCAGCAGCACCGCAAGCAGCAGCAGCAGCAGCAGCAGCACCAGCTGATGGCTGAGAAATTCCACCAGCCCTTTGGGCGACTGGTGGTCTGAGGGGTAATGAGGACGGCATGATGCGGAAGCACCTGGCAATATGCTGTGGATTGGAGGCGGGAATATGCGTTCACGCGCCACTGGTGATATCTCAGCGACGGGGCCTCGAATGCAGTTTTAAGCCGTCAGCTCACCCGGCCGAGGCGAGGCCCCCCGAGACTCTCTGAGCAAGGGCAGCGAGCGTTCGCTCCCCAGAACACGCCCCCGAATGAGCGCGGTCGCGAACTGCGCGCAGTCCAGTCCTCGGGGAACACAGCGCCGTGCATATGTGGAGGTAAAGTGTTTCTGCTAGGCTGTGAAGCTGCGTATTGACTTGTTATTGCCAGGCTGTATGGTATGTGCTGGATGTTCTTTCGTGCTCGTGCCATGCTGTCGTGGTGTAGGAGGGTGGTGTAGGAGGAGCAGGATGAAGCGGAGGAGGCTGAGGAGGAGGGGGAGGAAATAGAAACATAGCGAGCGAGAGATAGAGAGAAACACACATGCGAGATTTCAGAGAAAATGAGAGATACCAAAAAGAATGGCGAGAGAGAAACCAACAGAGAGAGAGAGAGATAGAAAGAGATACATTCAAAAATGGAGAAGGAGGGGGGAAAAAGGGGAGGGAGGAGGCGGAGGAGAACACGGATAGCGCGGGGGAACGGAAGGGGGGAAGAGAGGAAGGGAGGAAGGAAGGAACACGAGGGGGAGGAGGGATGGAACTGGGATGGAGTAGGGGTCGGATAGGGCTGCAGGAAGCGCGGGGGGGGGCACGGCGCCGCTGCGATATTGCAGCGTCCAGGAAGCTACTACGCCATCCGCATGTACAGGGACCAGGCGCCAGGGTCGCAGCCATCGGAGGCTTAGAGCTTGGCACCAACACCGAGCTTTGGCGTTCCCCTGCACCAGGGCAAGATGATTCATATCCCGGCGATGGTGATAGCCTTCTGGTCCAAGGTGGTGGCCGAAACATCACCACCTGCAGCATTGCACCGGACTTCAGCACCATCTTCCCCCGGTGGAGGCACACCCTGTGCCGGTGGTGGTGCCAATCCTCAGGCGTGCAAAGCCATCGTCTCGTGTGCGAGTTTCCCCTCTCATTTGCATATGAGGGGGTTGGATTGTTTTGGGTCTCTGGGCCCTGACTCCGCGGGCCCTCTCCAGGCCTCAGGACCGTCAAAAAATTATCCGGGATGCAAATCCGGCCCTGGGGAAGGAGGCTGGGCCCTTTCTATCATAGTTTCTCCTTTCCGAAAATGTCCTCCGAGTCTTTCCCCATCCACCATTATTTCCCTGCTTCCCACCACCCCTTCTCCCTCTCGTTCCCTGTCCCTCTCCCTTTCTTCCCTGTTCTCCACGGTTACTCAGTACGAGTACCACGCCCCTCTTCCTCCAGACCATGCGCGCGTGCGCTCCCGCCTCCTTCGCGCATCGTCTCTCACACGCAGGATGTCATGAGTTCGTTTATCCGATGTGGTACTACAGTCGGGGCATCATCCGATGTCTTGTTAACCGCTGCCGCCCCTGTCATTTCTGGTCCTCCGCCTTCCCCTCGTCCTGCTGTTCCTCAAACTCCTCCTGTTCCTGCTGCTGCCCCTCAGTCTCATGCTCACTCGCCGCATCCTCCTCGTCCAGCGTACAAGACCCCGTCTTCTTGCACGTCAGACGATGGGGTCATATTGGAAACGAGGGGGTCGTCTACTTCCGGCAAACAGAGTTTTTTTGCGAAACGGGAAGAGAGAGATGGGATGGCTAAGGTGTCAGATAAGGTGCAGCCCCGCCTTGGAACCAGGAGGCATAGAAGGACAAACGGGAGGAAGCGGAGGAGGCGACGGGGGAGGAGGAGGCGGAGGAGGAGCAGGAGGAGGAGTAAGAGGGGGAGGAAAAGGGGGGGTCAGGAGGAGCGGAAAAGGACAAGGGTAAGGATGAGGAGGGGGAATCGGAGAAGGGGAAGGAGGAGGGGGAGGTGGAGGAAAGGGAGAAGGAGGGGGAGGAAAAGGGCTTGATGAAGATGATGTTGATGATGATGTTGCTGATGAAGATGTTGCTGTGATGATGCTGGTGATGATGACGATGCTGATGATGATGCTGATGATAATGATGGTAATGATGATGATCTTGATGATGATGCTGATGATGCTGATTATGCTGATGATGATGATGATGATGATGATGGTGATGATGATGATGATGATGATGATGATGATGATGGTGATGGTGATGGTGATGGTGATGGTGATGGTGATGATGCTGCTGCTGCTGCTGCTGCTGATGATGATGATGATGATGATCATGATGATGATGATGATGATGATGATGATGATGATGATGATGATGATGATGATGATGATGATGATGATGATGATGATGATGATGATGATGATGATGATGATGATGATGATGATGATGATGATGATGATGATGATGATGATGATGATGATGATGATGATGATGATGATGATGATGATGATGCTGATGATGATGATGATGATGATGATGGATGATGATGATGATGATGATGATGATGTGATGATGATGATGATGATGATGGATGATGATGATGATGATGATGATGATGATGATGATGATGATGATGATGATGATGATGATGATGATGATGATGATGATGATGATGATGATGATGATGATGATGATGATGATGATGATGATGATGATGATGATGATGATGATGATGATGATGATGATGATGATGATGATGATGATGATGATGATGATGATGATGAATGATGATGATGATGATGATGATGATGATGATGATGATGATGATGATGATGATGATGATGATGCTGATGATGATGATGATGATGATGATGATGATGATGATGATGATGATGATGATGATGATGATGATGATGATGATGATGATGATGATGATGATGATGATGATGATGATGATGATGATGATGATGATGATGATGATGATGATGATGATGATGATGATGATGATGTTTCTCCCGCCCCGCGCTAGAGAGGGGCTATCGGGCGGAGGCGGCAGCAGGCGCGCGCGCGGGCGGGGCCCAAAAGGGCGGGCGCGGGCCGCGCGGCGCCGCTCAACGGGAGATGTTTCTCTGCGTGCCGACGGGCACGTTCAGCGGCGCTGACCTCGGATGAGGAAGGAGAGGCAGAGGGAGGAGAGAGGCCGGGGGCCGAAGCAGCTGCAAACGACCAGGACGCGCGCGGGCAGAGAGAATAAGAGAGAGAGCATTCTCCCGCTCCAGGTCGGTCTTCGGAGCCCCTGGCAGGCCAGGTCATCGGGCGGAGGCCGCAGCCTCTGCGCGCGGGCAGGGCCCAAAAGGGCCAGGCCCCAGCGGGCGCGCGGGGGCCGCGCGGCGCCGCTCAAAGGGAGTTGTTCCCTTGCGCGCCGACGATTCAGCCATACCCATGTTCAAAGCCCTTGCGCAGTGACAAGGCTTCGGCGGGCGGCCGGATTTTGCGTGGACCACACAGAAGGGCCCACATATAGAAGCGAGGCGAGCAGGCGGTCGCTATTTGCCGCATCGATTGCTACGCGCGCTTTGGATCAGGAAGGCAGGGCAGGAACATCCGACGAAGCGGCGGCAGCCTAGAGATAGGGCCCGGCGTTGGAGGCCTGCCGCCAGCGGCCACGCCAGAAGACGCGAGGAAAGTCTTCCGTGGCCACGTGGAAGTCGCTTGCCCCAGAACCTCGAAGGCAAGTTGGCGCAAGGTTCAGTCAAGAGGCCGCGTCGGACAACGGAGCGCCCAAAGCCGAAAGCAAATGGTTTCACCGAGTACGGAAGCCGCTTGCCCGAAGGGTGATAGCGGATCGGTGGAGCACAAATGTTGGAACGCAAGTCCCAGGAGCCTCACCGTCGCCTGCTCAGAGCAGCGAGCGTGCTGCGTTGGGCAGGTGCGACGGTCTTCGGCGCCTCTATGGCAAGGAAAGCATCCCCGCTGGCTCCGAAACGGTCGCCAGGAAGCGACAGGTCGCAACGGGGTGCGACCAGAAGTGCGCCGGGGCAGAGGAGCGAACCGCGGGGGGCTCTCGGCCAGCCTCCGCTGCTCTGCCACGGCCCAAGCTTCTGCGAGGAAGGCGCGCCAGTGGGGACGCGCGGCTCCCCGCATCGCGGGGCCGAGTGCCGAAGATGGCGAGAGAGCTCGAAAGCGGAGACACGCTGCGGTGCAACGCAACGGGAGCGATGCGCGAATGCTCCACGAGCCAGAGCTCAAACGCGTCGACCGACCGACGCCCATGGCGCGGAGAGGCGAGATGCGTGTCGCGCACACAGGGGGCGCGAGTGGCACGAGGGCGGGTAAAGCTAACCCCCGGACTCGTTCTCGCGGCAGGGCTGGCCGCAGAAGCGGCGGCGCCTGCGGCGGCAGGCGCGGCCGCTGCGGGAGCAATGCAGAAGCCGCGCGCGCGCCGCAGGATCAGCCCATTCCGCGCAGCAGCGCGGCGCCTCACCGCCGCGCTGCTGCGCGGACAACGCCCGTCCTGCCGTACCGACACATCTGAGTGTGCGAAGGGGAAGGGTTATATTCATGAGGAAGGGTGATGGGGGAGAGGCAGGAGGACGGGGGCGAGGAGGTAGAAGAGAAGGGGGGACGGAGAGGAGGGAGAAGGAAGAGGAAGAGGAGGAGGGAGGAGCAGGATGAAGAGGAGGACAAGGAGGACGAGGAGAAGGAGGGCGGCTGGGAGAAGAGGAGGGGCTTCCTCAGCGCGCTCCTCCGCATTCTGCTCACCGTCTTTCCTCTCCTGCGCCAGCTCCTCCCCCATGTTCTCCCGAGGACGGAGGGGATATAGGTGACGGGCCCCACGCTTCGAGATCGGCCCAATGCGTTCTCGAGGGGGCCTGTGGGGGCATCTTGGGCGCCTTCTTGGGCCCTCTAGGGGTACTCGGGAGCCTCAGGGCCATCTTGGTGCCGTCTTGGAGGTGGTCGATCGAAGTAGGGGATGGGTAGGCCCCCTCCCCGAAGGGGAACAATCAGGCGATGGCAAACATGGATTACGGGGGCGTGGATTGGCGACGGGCCCCGCTTCCGCGGGAAACCGCGGATTGCCGCCGAGCGAGGCGTCGCCGGCTGCATTTTGGGGATGGCACCTCCCCCGATCCGTGGATTTGGCGACCGCGCGCCAAATCCATGGATCGCTAATCCATGTTGGCGCGCCCCCGAAAGAAGGAGGAGGAAACGCTCTAAACCACACGCCCTAAAGGGCTGGTGGCATCGAAGTTTCTTTCCCGGGGCTCGCAGGTAAGGAAGCAGCACCCTCAAGGGGGGGTACGATGAAAGATGAAGGGGGCGGGTATCGAGGGGTTGGGATGTATATGTTGACTGGTGTGCGAGCAGATAAGATCGAACAGTTCTTGAAAGGATGGTTGCGGTCGCTGTCGATGTTTCATTTCTGGGGAGTTATGTTTGTTGATCCTCGACCTCTGGTGCACATGCTTGTTCTTTCCCATTGGAGTTTCCCCCCCCCCATGGCTCGCACATTGTACTTTGCTAGGGGAAGCCTTTCGCCTCAGACTGTGTTGCTTGCCTCCGAACTACATCGACAGGAGCAGCAACAACAGTAACAGCAACCACAAAAACAACAGCCACAGCAACAGCAGCAGCAGCAACAACAGCATCAACGGCTACCGCTTGATATCTTCGCACGAGTCAGTTAAGAATCGCGCTCTTGCGCGGGTCTTCCGTGCAATTTTTCAGAAAGAAATCGCAGTGCCGCTTGGGGCCTACCACGCAATGTATTCAGACGCCGTGCCCTCGACACTCGGGAATCACGCTCTCGCTTCGGATGTCCTCATGGTTTACTTTGGAACGACGGTATCGCTAGAAGCTCTTGCTTGGGCTCGCGCTCGCGGTCTGTTGCGAGCACCATGTCTCGTCGTGCCCCTGGTTTCCTGGGAGCTCCTCTCCAGGGGGGCGGGGCCTTTGGGCACGTTTCGAGCCCATCCGCTCCTCGTCCCCCATTCCTAAGTTTCTTTCCCAACTTGACCGGTCGAGGCTGAGCTCTGCAGACTAGAACACCCACGTGGAATCACATCTCAAGCGGGTCCGATGTCATTCTCAATGCAGTCCCGTGACGCTAGTCCTCAGCCTTGTTGTCCACGTAGCAAACAGTCCAGTCCTTGCCTTTCCCTACTTGCTCTGCCAGCCCGCACGTCCCTCCCTTCCTTTTAACCGCTCCAGGAGTGCGAGTCACCCCCCTGGGGCCGCAGACCGACGATGGGATATTCAAGCGCGTAGCGGCTCGGAACAAACACGGACGCACGTTCAGGCCTCAGCATTGCTCCGTCGGTAGCAGAGACGAAGGACAACTACGTGCCCATCCCACCAGCCGCCGAACAGAGCGGTGGCGGATATGCTACCACACAGGCGCATCAATATCGAAGACGCCTATGGCGATTCACCGCCGCTCTTGCCTTTCGGGATGCGCCAATGTGGCCAACCGGTTCGGCAAAGTTTGGCCAAGCTACTGGACAATGCGTTTCCCCAACCGTTGTGGAAGCTTGTCGTGGATCACGTGGAGGAGGACAAGGAGGATGAGGAGAGGGAGGAAACCTGTTGGGAGCTTCTTAGGTTATTGTTGGGGCCTCCCTTCCCTCTTCTCAAGAAGGATCTGGGCCCAGACCTCCGACGGATTGACTTGCTCAGTCCGCCGGCCCCCCAGGTGACACGAACCTTTCCCTGGGGACAGTCTGTCGCCGCGCACCCACGCTGAGATCCGACGTTGCGAAACACGTGCAACCTCGCGAACAATCACGACAGCAGCCCTAGATCCCATCCTTATATGCAGTTTTTTGCTCGAGCCCGATCGCGCGGCGTGACGAGTTGGCAATGCCCAGATCGCAGGGTAGTGCGGATGGCCCAGGGGCCAGGAAACGGTTTCCAGAGGCCAAAGCTGAGGAGAACAAGGGCTCCCACGAGGGCGCGAAGTTAGTCGCGCTTCGCGCTTCGCGGGCCTCGTTCCTCCTCCCCCTCCTCGTCCTCCTTTTCTCCGGCGCGAGAGCGCGAAGTTATTCGCGCTTCGGGGAGCGCGAAGCGCGAAGTTGGGAGCCCTTGGAGAAGCGCCGGGATGGAAAGCATCAGCCTTCCGCCCGAAGATCTCGGGGGAGGTCGTGGGCAGCAAGCACGTCTGCATCCGCGGCCCCGCGGGCGCCACCCCGCGGCCATACGGGGAGCCTCTTCGCGCCGCCCCGCGCGGCACGCGCCCGTGCGGCCGCACATGCACGGGACCGCGCCCCCCCCCGGAGTCCAGATCGCCAGGGCGCGGACGTGGATGTCACCACCCACCAGCCTTCTGTCGGGTGTGTCCCCCATATAGCGGGATTTTCGACGAAAAATGAAAAATACCGCAAACATACCCCAAGAAGGTCAAACAAAAATGTCCCCAGACTATTTTTGGACTATGTTTTGACTATTTTTGGGGTATTTTTTATTTTTCGTCGAAGATCCCACTGTAGGGGGACAGGCCCGACTTGACACCAACCCACCCCAACCCAACCCGAAGGCCCCGATCTGCCCTCCAGTTCCAGTGGGTGGGGGGGGTAGGGGAACATGGACAAAACACGCATGTGGAACCCGTACCTCCCCCAAGCCGAAATTCGGGTCTTCGGGTTGGGTTGGGGTGGTCTGGTAGTCAGGATGCGCTCATCGCTCGCGTGTCGCTCTGCCGGCTCTGGCCACCGCGCTTCGGCGCGACGCGCCACGCCTTGGCATCGCTCGGACGTGTGCCTTTTTCCTTCGGCGAGGGCCATCGAGGAGCATCCTTGATCATTTGGCGAAAAAACCACGCACGAGACCGAGAAAAACACAGGGAATGGACGTCCGAGCGATGGCGAGACGCCCGTCCCAATCTCCAGGTGTCAGCGTCCCGGGCTGCTCCCGGCCTCCCGCCCGCGGAGCGGAGCGACACGCGTGCCGCCGGGCCCGTCGCCGCGACATGTTCAGCAAAAGTTCCCGGCCGTGGATCCCCCGACCGAAGTTCGGGCCGGACGAAAGGGGGGGATTGGGAAAGGGGGGGTCACGGACTTTGCTGCATGCAGCCTCACCGAGGGGCCCATTCCTCGATCACATAGCCGCCTCCGGCGCCGGGCGGCGCCGGGAGAATCAGCTACGTGAGCTGATTCTCAAACCCCTTTTTTGCTATCCCCCCCTTTCGCCCGACCCGAGAAGTCCAGGGGGGAGGGGGGCCCGGGCCCCCCGCGCCCGGCAGAACCCCTCGCGGGTCCTCCTCGCATCCGTGCCCGCGAAGCTGCTGGCGGACCACTTCGAGGACTGGCACGACATCCTGCGGGTGAGCCGCGGGGGAGGGGGTGGCCCCGGGCCCCGCCTCCGCCGAGGACCCTACCATCTCGGAGGTTGATAGACCTCCTACTTTGACACGCCGATTAGCGAGTTGGCCGTTTTCGGTTCGCGAGAGGGCGTCGCGGCCGTCATCTTCGCGGGTCCAGGTCCGTCGGTTTCGGTCCTGTAGGCTGGTTTCTTTAGAAAGGGTGGTTTACGCAAGGGAGGTTTGTGCACCGCCGACAGTCGTCGTGCCACCACAGGTTGGGCTGCAACTCCTGGGAGGTCGAATTCTGATTTTGCACTGGTCCGAAGTCCCGCTCAATCCCGTTGAATTCCGCTTAATCCCGCTCAAACCGGCTTAATCCCGCTTGATACGAGGCCCACGCCGGCGTAATAGCTCCCAAATGGGGCTTAACCCTCCTTCATCTTTCCGACGGAAAACTCCCATAGGGGGTGGACAGACCTCCTACCCTTACACGTCGATTAGTGAATTGGCCGTTTTCGATCCATGAGAGGGCGTCGCGGCCGTCATTTTTGCGGGTCCAGGTGCGTCGAGTTCGGTCCCAGGCCGTTTTCACTAAGGGGAGGTTTGCTAAAGGGAGGTTTGTCCACCGCTGACTAGTCCTCCTTCATCTTTCCGACGGAGACCTCCCGGCAGCTGCCTCCCAGCACGGGGGCCGCCGAGTCGGCCACGAGAGAGAGGCTCTTCTGGCCTCGTGCGGGCCTGGGCCACGAGCAGGCTCCCCGCGGCCCAGAGGTCCGAGGGGCGGCCCGGGCACCGGAGCCCCTCCCGAGCCCGAGGTGGTCCTCTGCTGTCGGGGGCGGCGAAGATCGGGGGCGAGGACGGACCTACTTTGACTCGCCGATTAGCGAGTTGGCCGTTTTCGGTTCGCGAGAGGGCGTCGCGGCCGTCATTTTTTGCGGGTCCAGGTCCGTCGGTTTCGGTCCTGTAGGCCGGTTTCACTAAGGGGAGGTCTACTAAAGGGAGTTTTGTCCGCCGCCGAGAAGAGGGGGGTGAGGACTAGGGTTCAGTCGGGCCTGTCCCTCTACAGGAGGAAGATTCAAAAATAGTTTAAAAATAGTTTGGGGACTATTTTTGGGGGTATGTTTTTTGGCCACTTTCGAATAGTTCTGGAGTATTTTTAATTGTTCCTCGAAAATCCCCCTGTCGTGGGACAGGCCCGACTTAACACAGGGGGGGGGACATCATGGCGTGGGCCCTGATATTTCCCCAGATTTCACGGCGCCTCTTCTTTTTCCATTGCGTCCTTGGCCCCGCTCGGGGCCGCGCACATGCCGCTGGCCACGATTTGCGCCCCCCCCTCTCTTGGACGCCCCCCTCTTGGCCGACCCCGATGTTGAGCGACAAAAAAAAGCGGGGTCGTCTGCGCCGACAACGGCGCGGAAGCTGCTCGCGTAAGGTCGCGCGCAAGCGCGCTCGTCTCCACTGTGGCGTGTCGCGCGGGCGGCCCGTGTGAGCAGCCGCGTAAGGTCGCTACGTCATCTCGCGTAAGGCCAGTTTTGTCTCGTCGCTCATTTCAGCGTCTTGGCTGTACTCTGGCTTCTGTCAGGCGATCGCAGACATGGATTAAGGGGGCGTGGATTGGCGACGGACCCCGTTTCCACGGGAAATCGTGGATTTCCGCCGCCGAGCGAGGCGGCACGGGCCGCATTTTGGGGAGGGCCCCCCCCCCGATCCATGGATTTGGCGACCGCGCGCCAGATCCATGGATCGCCAGTTCATGTTGGCGCGCCCCCGATTCTGGGGGCTCGGTGTGTCCCAGGCTGCTCCACGGGCGCTCCCCTGGGGCTTCTCGGGCCCGTGGGCGCAGCGGGGGGGGGGGGGGGCAAAGTGGGGCTTCGCTCCCTCCCGAGAGGCTCCTCTTGCAGAGTCCTGACTGCACGGAGGGATTGCCCATCAGTCCTTGAGAGGAAGTCGCATTTTACTCCAGATTCCAGTCTACTCCAGGTGCCTCCCCTCTCTGGTCATCGAGTGGTGCTCTCTGCTCCTTCCTTTCTTTCGGGGGCCATGCCTCTTTAGGGGGACGGGCGCAAACCCAATCTACGGTCGGCCCCGATAAGGAGGTCGACCCTGCCAGCTCAAGGGTACCCTTGTTTCTTGTGCCTCGCGACACGTGCCTTCTTACACTCCCATGGCGATGTGGCCCTCGGAAGGGTCTTGTGTCCTCTCGCGTGTCTTGTCCACTCAAGTCCGACTGTACGTTCAGCGCCCTCCTGCCTCGTGTGTCTACCCGCCCTCCCCGACCGATGGGCGCAGACCCGATCCCTGTGCAGGAGGCCCTCGGATTCCTCAGCGTGAAGGAGGCGGGTCCTGGAGGAGAAGGGGCCCCGGGGGGGGGGGTCCCCCCCGCCCTCGGGCCCCCTGGGGCCCGAGGACGGGCCCCTGGACCTTCCGCGAGTCGACTCGGGAGGACCGAAGATCTGGTCCTGGTACGGCGCCCTCGTGCCTCGTGTGTCTGCCCGCCCCTCCCGACCGATGGGCAAGCTTCATGATGTTCCAACCTACTTTGGCCCCGATCGCCAGAAAGAACCTCGAGCACCCAAGAAGTGCCGAAGCCCGAGAGTCTTAACGCGTCGGGCCCTGGGAGACACTCGTCCGACACCGTTTCGACACTCTTGCGACACTCTTCCAGGTGCTCGAAATTGGACGCCCTGACCGCTCGCTCTGACCGCTCGCGGCCCCCCCCGTCCAGGTCCACGGGGAGGGGGTAGGGAGGGAGGGTCACCGAGCGCGTTCCACTACTTGCAAAGTGCCTACTCGCAAACGTCAACAAAAACACCACGTTCGCCTGTATGTGATATGTCGTAAGACCCCCACGGCGGATCCAGGCCATTTGCGAGTAGCGACTTTGCGAGTAGTGGAACGCGCTCGTCTATTCACTCACGAGACCGTTCTGTGGGGTATGATCGCCCAGGTTATCGGGCCCGCCGGACCCCCCCCTTCGTATACGAGGGGAACGTCGCCTTCTTATACGGTCCAGCTTCTGATTCAGAGACCTCCCCCCGAAAAGCTGGCCCAGCGTTTCTTGACCAACTTGCTGGAAAGCTGGCTTAGTTTCGTAAGGGGGTTGATACCCTTGGATCCTAGAAATGAATCACGTACTTTCCTGGCACCAAAAGCTGGCCCATAAGAAACTTCTGAAAAGCTGGCCCAGCTTTCTTAATTGATAAGTGTCTGAATCATATGTTTGACTGTACGAGGGGAACGTCAGCTGCGGTCCCAGCTGCTTGTCCCACCAGCCACTTGGGCAGAGAGGTGGTCCAGCGAGCGAGTTCTTTCTCTCCCCTTCGGGAGGTACACTCCCCCTGGGTCTGGGCGGGGGGGGGGGCGGATAACCTGGGCTTTGTCGGTTGCGCAGGTCCGAGTGGGGTGCGCAGAGCTGGTGCGCGCGGGCACACGTGGGGGCTGCCCGAGACGAAAGCATCAGGCTATCGGCGGGCATCCTCGCCGACTCGCCCACCCCCCCACATGATGACGTGGGCCTGCGCCGCAAAACGAAGCAACGATTTCCTCTCCCCTTCTCTCCACTCTCCCTCGTCCTGTTCTCCTCCGCCTCTCCCCTCTCTCTCTCTCCCCCTTCTGAAGACGAGGATGGAGAACAGGAGGA